TGGGGGGCTCGAGTGTTCCTGACGGTTCCGGTTGATTGTTGCTGACGTCACTGCAAGACTTTATCACCGAAAATCGTTCAATTTTTGCGATTCGAAGTTCAATAAAATTGTCTTTTGATAGAGACAATGAAAATCGTAAAACGATAACAAATGATCACTCGAATGAAGCTTCGAGTTTTCCTCCTCACACTTTATTTAATTTTTTGTGGCGCATCGAAAAAGGGTCCAGCGCCCATAGACGCCCCGCGGCGCAAAGCCTTAACGGCCGCTTTCTCTTTTTGTTGACATAACGGCAAGACTGTATCACCTAAAATCGTTTAATTTTTGCGATTCGAAGACAAATAAAATTGTCTTGTAGACAATGATAATTGAAAAACGATTGCAATTGATCACTCGAATTAAGTTTCGGGTTTTCCTCCTCACACTTTATTTAATTTTTTGTGGCGCAACGAAAAAGAGCAAGTGCCGGTAGACGCCCGGCCGCTTTCTCTTTTCGGCTGTCGCTGTCAAAGGAAGATGCTATGCGATTCAATTTCGCCCAAATTGTTATTTTATATAAACACGATTTTTACAACGGTAGGCCGAGCATAACTAACCTTGGACTTTATTTCTAAAACTGTTTCTAATCTATTTGCAATTACTCAAACCATTCATCGCATCATCAGTCCCCTTTGCGTTGGCATTAACGGCAGTTAAAGTTGTAATAACCGGTCGATAGAACAATATAATCCATCAAGGCATTTCTGAATAGGCGCAACTCCGGCCGCTTTCTCTTTGGGCAAACGTCGTTAAGGGATGATGCCACGCTATTCAATTTCGCCCAAACCGTTATGTTCTACAAACAAAATTTTTGCATCGATGGGTCTAGCGTAATTAACCTTGAACTTTATGTTGGAAATTGTCTGTAGCTTTATTTTAAATTAGTTAAACCATTCATTGAATCATTAGTCCCCTTTGCGTTGACATTAACGGCAGTTGAAGTTGTACTGTCCTTCGAAAGAACAATAATTAATCAAGTCCTTTCTGAATAGGTGCAATTGCGGACGCTTTCTCTTTTTGCTGACGTCACGGCAAGACGTTATCACCGAATTCGTTGGCATTTTGCGATTCGAAGACAAATGAAATTGTCTTTCGACAGAGACAATGATAATGGTAAAACGATAACAATTGAACTGTAACGTTTGAGTGTATCTCGCGTTATTAAAATACTAGTTCGGACTCTTTACATTAAATTCGCAATAACGTCTCCGAGAAAAGCAAGAAGTTGACACGCGCGCAATCTAAATAATCAAAAGAAAATCTTTCGAGTGGCAAACCACGAGGCTTGCCAACTTGATGAGCTGCTTCGAAGTGCAATTGATAGCAATCGCATCTATCGGGGAGAGGCCCGACAGCGCCGCGATTACTACTCAATTTGACTTCTCAACAATAGATATGTTTCAGGAGGGAAGATCTCTAAGGCTGCTTTTTTCTCATGAGAGAGATAGTCTCATGAGTTGAGCTCTTAGAGATCAGTAGGAAAGGAGTTCAACAGGCTAACCACTGAAAAGAAATTCGTCTCAGGCAATAGCTAAGGCTTTATTTCTACACAGTGCTCGCGCTGCTAAGCAAGGTAGGAAAGTGAGTCCTTTTGCCCCAGCGACGAGCGAATTTAGACATGCGAAATGGGCTCCTTTCTACGCTTGGTAGCCCCTACAACGCTATTTTTGTCTTTGACGCAAATTTTGTACACGTTTTATCGCAAAATGGCTCGATCGAAATTACAATTATGCGATTTAAAAAATTAAACTGGAAAAGATATATTTTTTAACATAAATTGCATCTCTAGGAAAAATCGCCTTTTAAAGTTATAAGCTATACAATTTAATAATCAAATTACGCCATTTTTACAATAAAATTATGGAAAATTTTCACATGGAAAAATCGCTTGTGGTTAGAAGATTGTTATCCATATAAAAGATGATTAATGTTGCTCTCTAATTTTGAATAATAATTAAAAAACAGATTTGCAAATTTCTTTTTTAACGATTTAAAAATCAGCAAATTAGTGACAATCATAATCATCAATTTTACAGATACGTGTGATCGATTTGCTATCGAACCGTGTTATTTTAATTGTTTAAAAAAATTATAAATTGTTTATTTATTGATAACTTAATGAGTAATTAGTTATCAAAGTGTCAAATTCTTGCTTTTCTGTTTCAATACGTCGAGATTGTAATCGTATGCTAGAAATAACAATATCATTGTTTATTGCAAAATAACTAACAATGTTAACTTATAGATTAGATTTGACTAACAAATATCGATTTGAGAGTTATATCAACATGAAATTCAGAATCAGCGCATCAAATTTAACTAAGAAATACTTTTGTTCGTTTAAAAAACTTTATAATTGACGGTTTTCTGTTGTAAACAATAAATTTTCCCTCGGTCGTGACGTCACGCTCTTTATATGGTAATGTTTTCGCAGAGTTGCCCTAACACATTTGCATATACGTGTGAAAAGCGCCTACGCTCAATTACCGATTTTCTCTAATTGTGTCGTGTGTGATGGGTTGCCGTTTTGCAGAGGAAAATAGGAGACAAATCAGACAGGACCGTTACAGAACACTTGAATTAAGTTTTGAGTTTTCCTGAGAATGCAGTTAAGCTTTTCTTATTTTTTCAAAACAATTTCAGTAAAACTTCAGTAAATTATTTTTATCTTTTATTTCATTATAATATAAATATTCACAATCTATTTCATTTATATGTTATATTTTTGTACATTTATTTTATTTATATACAGATATGTCGCGCATAAGTTGCCGGAGAGTTTTTTTCGCGGCAGGCGTTTCTTAAGCCGCACGGACACAATGAAGCATATGATCTGACGTGCAATATTTCGTCTTGTGTACCGTTGTACGCGGCGATCCAAATGCCGTACGCGGCGATTGAAAAGTCGTACGCAGCAGGCGAATGGAGACAAACGGTTCTTATTTATTATATTTATATTTACATCTATTCTATTTGTAGTAAACGATCATCAATGAGATTTGATACGTCGCGCATAAGTCGCCGGAGAATTTTTTTATCTTTAATGCTCTGTAGTTTTATGTACCACAATTCCACGGTTGCATCTAACTCGCTTCTTTCACTACCTGTGGTAAGCGACAAAGCAAGAACTTGTTCTAAATCGGGCACATGTAAATTCGTCACAGACTCTTTTATCGCGTCCGCTAATGTTTTTGCTGCGTCCATTATTGGCTTATTATTCTGCGTATTTTTGTGAGTCCTACTCGTTGTAAACTCTGGCATCACCGGTGCTACTTCGGAGCAGTCCATGTCAGTTTCATTACCGTTTCCGTCATCACCGAGATTGCCGAATCCCATATTCGACGTCGTTTCCCGAGTATCCAAATCGGTTTTGTCAAGAAAAGAAAGACTATCCATCAGTGGCCAGGGTTTTTTTAAACTTGCGGCTGATCCACTCCTGGGTGCCTTTCTTTTCAATCTTCGGCTGTAATCCACCAGGTGTTTCCACTGCTTTGCGACTTTTTTTGCGTCCGAGCCCAATTCGCTACCAACTTGTTCCCATACATCCCTGATCCTCATTCTTGACTTCCGTTGAATGGGAAGTGTCGTGTCCCATAGCTCTGGTCGTTCACGGACGAGATTTATCAGCATTTCGTCCAATGATACTTCGTTCGATGGCGGTTGTTATTCCTCAATAATGCGGACATTCAAAGCGGCTCTGCTCATGATTTCCTGAATTGACGGAAAAGGGTTCACCATCGGCTCCACGGGAATAGGAATACATAATGTCTCCCTCTGTCCATGGACTCTTGAGCTCCAGAGTATGTTTTCATCATCTGAAAGGACAATAAACCATATGTTGAGAAATATATTAATAAACAACATTAATAATCTTAGTGAATGACATATATTCAACTCACCAACTTTCGGATATATTACATCTAGAATATCGGTGTATATATCATGATAACCTTGAAGGCACTCATGATCTTCCGTTTCATACCCGTCCAACTCTCGTCTACATAAGCCACACGTATAGGGCAATTCCCACATCTGCAAATCAAGAGAATCACAATAATTAATTTCATTACATAATCCAGAATTGAATGTACAAAACGAAATACAACTTCTAACGTGTTATTTATCTCTATCTTAAAAAAAACAAAACTCACCTCGAACAAGTCACTCATCGTATGATTGTGTATGATGAAATACACGAAGTAGAGCTGGTTTAAGTAGTTATCAGATCACACTGCAGCAGCGATTGCGACGATTTTACAGAGCACAACTGATTTTAGCAAAGCGATTATTAGCAAAGAGAAGACACTGCACCAACGATTTCTCGGCTACTATGCTCATCAACTTGACTAGCTCAATTTGTATAGCTAAATCCCTACTTTTCACTATTGCCTACAAATTTTGCAGTGGCAAATCATCGCCTCAAGTTTTGCCCCTCCATCACTTATAGCCTTCTGTTTTACTTCGAGTCGACCAGTGAAAACTTATAGTCAACTCCCTCTTCGAGACTTTCTCTGGTAAGGATCCTCCTACACTATGGGCTCAACCTCTGCACTATAGTGGGCGCGTCCGTGCAAAAGTATAAATTGGATGCAGTTTCAGTGAACGACACTATTTGCGTGGCAAGTTTCCTGTAATAAGCTGTGTGTTGTGTCACCATGAGTTTTGAAAATCCGAACCCTAGTTCTTCAGAGCTCTCTCGCCCATGGGCACGATGCAGTTTAGACAGAAAAAAACTATTATACGCAAAAGAGTATTGTAGAGCAGTCCGCGCAGTACATACTACTTGGATCAACAAAGTGGTAGAATCCAGCGTTGAATTCCTTACGCTCGTCGATGAAGAATTGAAGAAAGGAAGAAAACGTTCATGCTGGGTAACACCGTTGTTCGAACAACGCAAAAATCTTGGATTTTTAGCGTGGTACCCTTTGCTTACGTCCTCGCAGCATCTAAACCACTTTAGAATGTCAGCAATGCAGATGGAAGAGTTACTTTTAATAGTCGGACCGTACATAACTAAGCAGTTTGTAGTTAGAGAGCCAATACCACCAAACGAGAGATTAGCTTTAACACTAAGGTATTTCAACATTTTTCTTTATTGATGATTATTCGTAATAACTATTTGTTATTTATACATAAAATAACATGAACAACTCATTTTAGATACTTAGCTTCCGGCGATTATATGCAGTCGATATCGCAAAAGTTTTATGTGTCAGGACCAACTGTAAGCAATATTGTTTACCAGACCTGCCAAGCCATTTGGGCTGTACTTCAGCCACTTGTTTTACCAGCGAATATACCAACGGAGGAGTCGCTCAAAATCGCACGTGGTTTTCAAGATACTTGGCAATTTCCAAATTGTATAGGTGCCATTGACGGGAAACATGTACGGATCCAAGTAAGTAAAAGTCATACTTTTATAACAAAAAAAAAATAAAAAGAAAATCGAGTGCCGAAGTGAAAACTTTCATGGGAGACTTTTAAAAGGGTATCTTTCAATAACGGCTGAACCGCTTCGAATTATGATTTGAAATTTTGAGAGCATACTCCTACACTTTAGATTCATGTAGTAAAGGAATTATTTTCATCCATGTATTGGGGGATACATAATCTCTTTCAACTAAGATTAACAAATTTTTAAATAATTTTTTTTTCAGTGTCCTCCAAACGCAGGTTCCCAAAACTTCAATTACAAAGGGTACCACAGCATCGTATTATTAGCCGTTTGCGATGCCAATTATCTTATCCGGTGTGTGGATATTGGCGCATACGGACGTAGAAGCGACGGTGGAATTTTCAGCGACTGTGTCTTTGGGCAGAAATTCGAGTCGAACGATATGAATGTTCCCGAACCGGCTCCAATTTCTACCCAAAGACCAACACCGTTACCATACTGTTTGGTCGGTGATGAAGCTTTCCCTGCCAAAAGCTACATGCAGAGACCTTATCCGAAGCAGAATTTGGAGATAAGACAATGTATTTACAATTATCGCTTGAGTTGTGCCAGAAGAACTATAGAAAACACCTTCGGTATACTCGTTAATACGTGGCGAGTATATCACCAAGCAATAAATGCTAGTGGGAGGACCACCATCGAGATTGTCAAGACAACAGTCTGTTTGCATAATTGGCTCCGCAAACAAGATCCTTGAGAATTTAATACCGACATGGATGATATTCAACGGCAAGGAGAATCATTCGATGAAGTCGAAGATGTTACAACTATCGACAACAGCGCAAGATCAACGTGGAAGATCAGAGAGGAATTTTGTTGTTATTTCAATAATGAAGGAGCGGTTTCTTGGCAGAATGAACATGTAAGATTTGGAGGTTGGAGCTGCCGCGCGGGAAAAGCTATCAGAATCTAGCTTCCCGTCTGCTCCTCGTGCCGAGCCCAAAGTCCTCTATGCGCCTTGCGCCCGAATGATTCTCGCCGGCAAACGTGGTTGGATGAAAGTTGAGCCGAAGAAAAGGAATGGCCCAAATGTAGAATGCTCACTTTTATTTACACCTTATTTATACTGCGTTTGAACTTTATTTACAGCACTTGAGAGACACGATAATGATTACGGAAGGCCACAGCTGTGGGTACGGAAAGACAAAGGGCAAGGCAATAGCTCAGAGCACAATGCCTTGCCTGTATGAGCACAGAGAAAGAAGATGAGTTGTGTGCGATGAGGGCGCTGGGCCGTGACTGATGCGCTACTCGCAGTCCGCTCGCGGAACGAGCGCTTGCTTGCGCGGTTAGCGGCGAGGCTGGAAAGTGCTGCCTTCTGATGGCGCGAGATGTCCGGTCGGTGAAGGCGCCACATCCACTCCCCCCCCTGGAGGTTGCTTGGTTTGAGGGCAACCCTTGCTCTGGTGGACGGTGGGTTGAAGGCTCCGTTGGCGCGAAATGGATGCGCTTGGGCGGTGCGGGGGCCGGTTGTGGAAGGTCGTTGGCTATGTAGCCTGCTACCAGTAGTGAGGTGGAGACCGTTGCTGATCTGCCGTCCACGTCGATGGTGTACCTGAAGTCGTCGAGTCTCTTGATGACTCTGTGTGGGCCTGTGTAAGGAAGAGAGAGCGGCGGCTGGATTGGGGCCACGCGCTTGAAGACGTGTGAGCAGGTGCGAAGGTCCTGATGCATGAAGATTTTCGTTTTGATGTGGTGTGCAGTGGGTGTAGACTGCACTGCACGGAAGTGGTTTCACAGCGAGTCCAGAAAAGAGCTGGAAGAGATAGGCCGGTCGTCCTTTACGAAGAATCCTCCTGGCACTCTTAGCGAGGTGCCAAAGAGGAGGTCCGAAGGTGATGCTCCGAGGTCCGGCTTGAAGGCTGTACGAAGTCCCAGCAGAACGGTTGGGAGGATGTCCAACCAAGGCACTGTGGAGTGACAAGTGAGCGCAGCTTTTAGTGTGCGGTGCCACCTCTCTGTCATTCCATTTCCTTGGGAGTGGTAGGGCGTTGTTCTGATGCGGGTTGATCCTATAAGTTGAGCTAAAGCCGTAAAAAGTGCAGACTCAAACTGCGGACCCTGGTCGGTGGTGATTGTGAGCGACGTGCCGAAGATGGAGATCCATTCTCTGTAAAAGGCTAACGCAATTGTCTCCGCGGATATGTCCTTTAGCGGAACTGCGTGAGGCCAACGAGAGAAGCGGTCTATTATTGTTAGGCAGTATCTGTGTTCTCTTACCAGAGGCATAATGATAAGATCGAGGTGGAGGTGGCTGAAGCGCGCCTCGGGTATCTCGATGTGGTTTGGTTGATTGCGAGTGTGACGACGGATTTTAGAACGCTGACAAGGAATACACTCACGTGCCCAGCGCAGGGTGTCTTTCTTCATGCCTGGCCAGACGAAGCGCTCCTTGACTTGCCTGCAAGTTTCTCGGCCGCCTGGATGTGAAGGTGCGTGCACGACGTCGAAGGCTGTTTTGCGCAGGGAGAGGGGCAGGTAGGGGCACACAGTACCTGTTGCGACGTCGCAGAGAACGCTGTTTCCTTCGATGTTTAGCGATTGGAGCTTCAGAGAGGTTGAATCTGCTTCAGACATGGCGGCTTCTGGGTCCGCCTGAGCTTCAGAGATCGTTTTAGCGTCGAGCTTGGTGGGCATGGTTACAGTGCAGATGCGCGAAAGGGCGTCTGCGACTAAATTTTGATTGCCTGGTACGTGTACGATATTGGTGCAGAGCTGGCCGATGTAGTCCAAATGATGCAGCTGGCGAGGAGAGACTTTTTCGGGCCGTTGCTGAAAAGCCTTGACGAGCGGCTTGTGGTCCGTGCAGATCGTGAGGTTCCTGCCTTCGACAATATGTGCGAAGTGTTTGAGCGATGCGAAGATTGCTAGCAGTTCGCGATCGTATGGGCTGTATTTCTGCTCCGCTGGCGAAAACTTCCTGGAGAAGAAGCCAAGAGGGGAGGGTTTCCCATTGATGTGTTGCTCCAGGGAGGCACCGAGAGCCGTGGCAGAGGCGTCTGTGATGAGGAAGATCTGGGCTTCTGGGTCTAGGAAGTTCGACGAGGTGGCGTTGGCTAAGGCAGTTTTTGTGGCCTCAAAAGCCTCCTCGAGTTGAGAGGTCCAAAAGATGGGACGCATGTCCTTTTTCTTGGCTCCCTTGAGTTGATCGTTGAGCAGAGCTTGATACTGGGCTGCCTGCTTGATGTGATGGCGGAAGTAGTTTATCGCGCCGAGAAAGCGTTTGAGTTGATGTATCGTGTGCGGCCTGGGGTAGTTGACGATGGTGTCGACTTTAGCTGCTGGCGGCTTGAAACCATCAGCGTTGACTGTGAAACCGAGGAAGGAGACTTCCTTCTTGGCGAAGGCGCATTTGAGCCAGTTGATGCGAAGCTTGCTGGAGAGTAGTGCGTCGAAAACTGCGCGAAGGTGCTTGAAACTCGTCGAACGTACTCGGTAACAGGATGTGGATAGCTATAAAAGTCGTCTTTCCCACCAGATGCAATAATTTCACTAAAAAAAGTAATAATAAAATAAGAAGAACATTCATAATATTTCAAGACAAGAATATGGAAATCACCATATTTTCGTACGATAAACGAAAATATGGTGATTTCCATATTCTTGTTTTAAAAAATTTATTTGTACTTACTCAATGTCCAACATTTCAATCCTTGGAACCAATGCTGCAGCTGCATCCTCCTCTGGATTATGGTGATACTGCCTGAAAATTCTTCTCCTCAGTGGTTGAGCCATGACATCACGGGGAATGTTTCACTCACTAAAAAAAAATTAAAATCGATTTAAACAAACAAACAAACAAACATTCTTGCTCGTCCATTATTAGAGCAAAAATAACATATTATACTTACTAAAAAATCCTTGTAAAATAAGCCATATCTACGACATCATCTTCCGTTACTTGCCCAAAAAAATTATTTGGATGCAGTAACATATGCTGTATTTGTACTTTACATTTCTTTCCTTGCATGTTGCGCTTGATTTTTTGGATTGTCTTGAGAGGTAGAGCTGAATTCAAAGTAGGATCCTGACCAGCTGGACAACAATTTTTGCTATCGAGCTGCAGAACATATTTGTTGACAATTGTTTTCACCTCATCTTCAGTGACATTTGGAGGTTCTTTCGCTGCTGCATAGTTGTCAATATCAGAAATTTTCTCGAAAATACTTGACATATCTGCTTCTTCACGCCTTAAATATAAAACAAATAGACATTTTTGTAAATGTTACATAACGTATACGTAACATATTATTTCTTCTCATATTTTTGTTTCATCCGGAAATATGTAAATTCGCATATTTTCGAATCAAACAAAAATATGAGAATTTTAATTTTTTTGTTTAACAAATAAATACTACGGATAATTACTAAATTTCTTTAAAAAATTATACTTACTTAGCATACACGTGATACACAAAAGCCCAAACTGGGCAGTGATGATAGGGCTTTAGTAATGCTAGTCTTGCCGTTGCAAAAACATTTACAAGATTGTGCATACTTGCATCCGAAGGTTTGGTAGATCTAAGTTTGTAAGCCGACGTAAGTTCTTTTATATAAGTTAACTTCAAAATTTCCAACTCGATAGGCTTCAGCATCGAATGACCAGGTATAATGACATGACTTCTGAACAAATATTTGAAACAGGCAATGAGGTCATCCAACAACACAGGATCTGACTTGAAACTGTTCATACGAAAATTGACAGTATTTGTCACTTTCAATATAGCCAATCGTAACCTTTTATTGGCAAAATGCTGCGACAATTCGTCTTCGTCGGCATTTACCACACGCCTAAACTGACGACCCATACCCCACTTGTACTTCACAAGCTTGAGTGCTGATTTACTATCACCTTCTCTCTCATCTTTTCTCTTTCTCTTGCCTAAAACACTTTTCTTTTTACCAGCAACATTTTCAGTAACTACACTATCATTCTCTCCATCACCCGAAGATTCACTGCCCGAAAATTCACTGCTACTCCACATCTTCAACACTGATCTGTTATAAAAAAGTTTAATGTTGAACAATCTACGTGCAAGGGATACCATCACCCGACAACGCTCAACAGAGTGAACCGCACACAACGATATTCGCTAGTCGACTAGCCTGAAATATAAAAATTTCAATATGGTCGTGCTGTGGGTACCTACTGTGCATGCGCGTTGCCATAACATGTGGATATACATAAGAAACTGATATGCTTTTGTCACATTCCAAAATATTATAGGACCAATGTTCTATAAATATATATAGTATACGTTACGAATACGACGTCGTAAAAAACAAACCATACACATATTTTAAAGAAAAAATTTTAACGGTTACACGAACAAAACTAAACGTAAAAAACACAATGTTAATTAATATACTACGGGAAAAGTTTAAATTAAATAGTTTTAAAAAACATCAAGAGAAAATCATTTCAGTTAATTTAACGACCGACAATGTGATAGCCATGCTACCGACTGGTGCAGGGAAAACGTTAACGTTCACATTACCACCAATGTGCGACAGTGGCTTGTATATAGTAATTTCGCCATTATTAGCTTTAATCGACGATCACACAAAGCAACTGCAAGATTTAAACGTAAATATAATATTTTCGTATAATTGTATAAACTATTTACATTGTAATTTCCATTGCAGATTCCATTCCTAAAATTATGCGGAGACTTAGACCGTCTGAATAAAGGCATC